TGTTGGTACCATGCTAGGGTTGCACGTGTGCACAAGAAACACTGTGATTACTCCGATATATTGCTACTGCACAAATAAACACACGAAAAAGACAAACAACGCATGTAGTAGGTCACGAAAACGATGTGTAAGTCTCCACAAGGAGAAACAAGCTACGGTAGCGGTATAGGCGTGAGTTAAAAGAGAAATTAGCACATCGTCTCAGGTCGGATTCGGTATGGGACGCGATATGTGAGGTGTACAGTCCGTGTTGACGGGGTTAACGAGAGGCATAAGTGAAGCAATGCAACGAGCGTGGGGTGGGCGAGAAACACAATCGGACAAAGAGGATATAAGTCAAGTGTGAACATGGAATGGAAAGAAAGTAAAAGATAAAGCGGACACAAAAATGTGAGTAAAGTAACACTAACAACGGCCAGACTAAGAAAGTGAAGTGAATAAAGAACACAACAACCAATAGCCCAATGGGTCCCCCCTCACGAGGACATCCGAGGCTATCCTTCCCATCCACTCATTGTTTGCGACTTTTTCGAGAGGGAGAGACACCGGGTATACGGTAGGCACTTCCACAGCAAAGTATACCTCACTCCCTAGGCGATCCATATTTAAATGGATGCTTCCATCTCCTCTGGGCCAGATACAATGACATTTGCATTATTCCCTTCGTCCTCAGGGGCCACAAACTGGGAAGACTCGATAGGCTCGATAGCGCTTACAGGCTCTGCGCTTGCTGGTCCGTTTCCGCTGGCGCTCCGTCTGACTGAAGAGCCACCTTGGGGACCCGATCGCGGCGGGTTCGCACACCGGTCCTTGCCATGCGCGATGCGCAAATTCGCGTATTCTGGCTTAATCTTAATGCTGTCGATGGCCTTGATAGCGTTAGAGATATTAGTGAAGTTGACGAAGGCGCAGTTCCTGAAGATAACAATATCAGAAATTATCATCGGCCGTCAGACAAGATATCGCACTTCTCCCTGAGGAAATTGACCAGCTCAATATCTCCAAACTCGCCAAAGTCCCTTTTTAGCTTCTCCTCATTGAATAATTCAAAGTCTTCAATGCTGCCCACATAAACATTCCTGGTGGCCCCTGAGTGAACAGCGAGCGCGAGACTGGGCGGCAGTGGACCAGAATTTTTGCCCCAACCAATTTTGAGTCGACGGTTGTTCAAGGTAAGGCCTTGGTAAGATGCCACTTGGTAGAACGTAAATGCTGCTGCAGGGTCAACAAAGGTGACAAACTATCACCCAAATAGATCAGCATGTACATTCAGAACGTGCCATATAAATTTAACTGACGGCAATGTGCTTGTCCTGCATGTACCTTACGCTCTGCAACACACCACCCCGAATAGCGTTGCACAAATCCTCCGTTGTTGTTTCAGGATGAATATTGCCCAGATAGACCGTGCGATTGAGGGATTGACCACCTGTCATGTCTGTTGCAAAAGGGTATGGCGAATATGGCGAACCAAAGTGATTCGGACCCGCAGCAGGGCTAAGATTTGCAGATTGAGCGACGAGAGATTGGGCGGCAGCCGCCTGGGCAGCTTGTGCAGCAGCTTGCTGAGACTTTGGTATATATGCGCAACGGTCCTTGCCGTAGTTGACCCGCTTTCCGGCCCAAGCTGGCTCGGTAGGGAGCGTGTTAACCACCTGAATGGCCGTGTCGGCACCAGAGTGAGGTGAAAAATTCAAATACAACATACCTTGGTAGCAACCGAGATACTCAAGAAGTGTACGAATCCGATGTTCTTGTCACGGACAATTTTGACCTGATCAATTAGCCCGAACCGGCTGAGATCGTCCCGTAACTGCTCTTCTGTCGTGTTTTCATCCAGACCACCGAGGTATACGTTCCGGCTGGCATTGCTCTGGCTGATCGCAAGGCTCACCTGCGCACTGACAGGAGATGGCTTCCCCCATCCGATCTTAAGTTCCTGACCGTGAAGGGAGAGCTTCTTGATGGTAGCATCGGCATGAAACGCCGCAGCGGTTGCGCCATCCAGAAAGGACAGGAAAACACACGATTTTTCAGGAAGAACACGAATGGATTCGAGGGGGCCAAAGTGCACGAGGTTAAGTAGCTCATCAACAGAAGCGGTTGCAGGGAGGTTGCCAACATAAACGGTGCGACCAGTGGCATTGGTCGTTGCAGAAAGCGCGGCAGAAATAGCCGCCGGCGAGTAAGCACCTGGGGTCGGAGGAATGTTGACATTTAAAGAAGGTAGCCGAGATTGCTACAAGACACATATGAGATTAGCAATGTACCCATTTCCGTGTCCACAATAATAGGATGTACCTGACCATAGTTACCAGCTTGCGCGCCGTAGGGAAACCCGCCCAACATGTTCATTCCGGGCAATCCCATGCCAAGCATGTTGTAACCAAAGCCTCCATATGGGCCTACACCGTTTGACTGAGGCGCATGTTGTTGCTGTTGTTGCTGGGCAAATGCGTTTTGGTGTGCGGGGCTCATTTGAGGGTTCATGCCTGCACCATTAACAGCAGTGTTAATCGTAAGATTCGGAGTAGAGTAAAGCTGATTGGAAAAGGCAGGAGATGAAGGTTGGAAAGGCTGATTGATCTGGGCATGTGGACCATAACCATAGTTGGCAAAGGCGTCACGAGTAACAGTAGTAGGTGCCGCAGCGGAGGTAGCAGAAGCACTAAATGTGGGGGACCAACGTGCCTTTTTGGCATCAGGACCACCGACGGCATCCATAGACCTCTGTTTGACGGGTCAACTGTGCGATGATGAGATTGTAAAAAAGACAGACCTTCATCATGTCGAGTTCAAAACCGTAAGAATGGTAGTGAGTTGCAAAAGCTGTTTGGGAGTCGTCCATATTTCCGGGTATGAGGTAGGAGAATTAAATGGATTGAGAAGGAGAGCAACGGCGGAATGTATGTATTGAAAAAAACCGAGGACCAAGTTAGAAAGGGTTTTGCAAGGTATAATGAATGATAGGGAGGTAGAGAGCGTGGGTAGGGCAGAATGCTGTGATGTACTGTCGTAGTACTTGTAGTACTCGTAGCCTGCCCTGTGCAAATGAGAGTGACTGATAATAAAAAAACACGCACAAAAAGATGAGCGAAGAGTGCGATCTGATATAGATAAACTTGCGTTAACGAAGAACTGAACAGAAACGAGTCAGGACAAGTCTAGCACGAGAGCTAAGCTAGAAACAAGTCCAAGACAAGATCGTCTCTTCAATTCACGGCCCCAACGAAATAATAAACAAAGATCGCAGGAACGCGGGCGACGACGAGCAGCACCAAACGTGAATCAGAAGAAGAAAAAAAAACAACCAACGACAAGCGAATTCGAACGATGTAGCGGAAGAACTGGTTTTTCACATCAATATCTGACTTTCCCACATAATGACGCACGGACCCATCGTTTCACGTTCATCACGACGTTCATCACCGAGGTCAAATATGCAGATCCCCGGGTTTGTGAAGAGAAGGAAGGCGAGTTTTATCAAAATTTCGAAGCCTAGGATGGTATCAGGTAAATTCGAACAATTCGCTAGGAATCAGGATTCATGCTCGCCGTCTCCTCATACCAGTGAGGTTTTACCTTCCTCCGTTTAAAAAACGGCAGGTTCTGACCACGGACAAGCACAATGAGCCTTGTGAGGCATGACTTTTCGCAGTCCAGGCTAACAATTGCTCCAAGTGATGGTACTCGGAAGTTCGCCAGGTTTAGATTCAGGTACCCTCGTCTTCTCGACCTGAGGTGTAACATCCCTCTGTAAAATGGCGTAGAACTGCGGCATGTTCTGATCATGGAACAATATTATGAGCTAAGGTGAATTTTTTCGCAGCCTAGGCTGACTTTTGCACAAGTACTGGAGTCAGAAAGGTCGCCAGGATTCGCTCCTCATTTATGACCTAAGGTATGATCTCCCTCCGTAAAATACTCTAAAGCCGCGGCAGGTTCTCATCTCGGACAAATCCTGAGGTATAAATTGTGCAGCTCCATCAGGTAGATTCGAGAAGTTTGCTGAGATTCATGCTCAGACTCAAGCTCGTCGTCTTCTTACTCCATAACAGGCACAACCCCTCTGTCGGTTGTTCTAAATTCTTGGCAGGTTGTTATCAATAGCGATCCCCCGCGCTAGTACGCTTATATCTCTACGAGGTGTGCAAGCAAATCGAATTGCAGTCGACGAGGAGCTCCGTCCGCTTTCATCGTAGCGAAAATAACGGCCAGTAGTATTTTGTGATTCTCGTCAGGTTTGTATAATGTTCTCGACTTGGAAAGGTCAAACCTGCACACAGGTCTACATAATGAATGCGATCACGACGTGATGCTATTCCTTCCGGTACAATCGGCCCCTCACAGAAGTCGGCACTTTCACCAAACTTGTATTTCTAGCTACTTGATCACAACATTCTTAACATGGATGACAATCTAATACAACTCATTACGAGGTTGAATGACAATGACTGAAGTAGAATTGAATGAGATAGTTGAAAGCGCCGAAATCATCTACCAATATGTGCCGTGACGGGGGTTTCAAATATAGCACGCTGCTATAGGTGCATTCTGCGCTGTCAATGTACATAATGGTCCCCATGGTGGTCCCATTGTATTTACATGGTCCAAGCTGACGTTCAAGTCTCATACAGCACTAAAATTTGGTCTGTACTTGCTCGTTCACTGCTCTTCCTTCGAGCTCACTTTTGAAACCGTAACATGCTCACGTGAATTTCTGGGGTGCCGAATATTGCGGATAGTACTAGCTATATACTGGTGCTCTTTATTTTATTGCCACGCTGTCTCGTAATGATCCACTGGCACAACCGTGTTTCGAGTTAGCATCTCACGTTATATCAACGCCAGCTATCATGGGTGTTACTGCGCGATACGATTGTATTAGGCACCGCAAAGAGTACTGACAGCTGATTCCTCTTTAAATTTGAGTGACCGGTGTACTACATATGTAGCTCAATGCCGATGGATACCTTCATATTCTCTCATCGACTTTTCTCATGTCGTCCTCCCAGCAGTTTTCTCTTCTCAATTCATTGCCGTCCACCCTAGAGCCGCAATGGCCTCAGGCTAACGAATCACTCATATTGGAACCATTTACATATATTACATCTAAGCCCGGTGAAGACATCCGCACATTGCTCATCGAGGCTTTCAACATATGGCTTGCCGTCCCTAGCCACCAACTCCAGGTCATAGACCGTGTCGTTCAAATGCTACATAATGCGAGCTTAATGCTCGATGACATAGAGGACGATGCGCAGTTGCGAAGGGGACAGCCTGTCGCGCACAAGATATACGGCGTCCCGCAAACTATCAACACCGCGAACTACGTATATTTCTTAGCTTATAAAGAGCTCTCGAAGCTGAGGAGGCCGGGCGGGAGCGAGGACGGGGATGTGGTGAGGGTGGTGGGCAACAGCGATTTGGATTTGATAGTCACGCAGGAGCTTCTAAGTTTACACCGCGGGCAGGGGATGGAGATCTTGTGGCGAGATTTGTTACAGTGTCCGACGGAGGAAGAGTATATTTCTATGGTCAATAACAGTATGTCCAGGTCCCTTTTCAGCACACTCAACACTAACTTACTGTGCTCAGAAACGGGAAGTGGATTTAGGATAGCTATTAAGTTGATGATGGCGCACGCAACGAAGAACATCGACATGTGAGTGTTGTCCCCCTATGCATGTTTCATAATTAGTTACTCATGACATCCTCAGCGATTTCGTCCCTCTGGTAAATATTTTCGGAGTGTATGTCCAGATACGGGATGACTACATGAACTTGCAAAGCACAGAGGTAAGCTTGCATGGTGTGTTATTCTTACCAGAAGAAAGAACTCGACACGCTTTAAAGCACAGCGACAACAAGAGCTTTGCCGAAGATCTTACAGAAGGCAAATTCTCCTTCCCAATCGTCCATGGAGTACGTGCGGATGAACAGAATCGAGTTGTTATGAGTGCGTAGATAATACTGATGTGCATGAATTGATTAACCGCTATCATTCAGACGTACTACAAAAACGTCCCACGACACCAACCCTGAAGCATCACACAGTTGACTACCTCCGCACACAGACAAAGTCGTTTGACTACACGCTCGCGGTGATGAGCAGCTTGGAGCGGCAGGTCTGTTTGTCTTCTGTGCCTACACACTTCCTGCTGAGTTTTACGTCTAGGTCCGGGAGGAGATTGCACGCCTTGGCGGGAATCCTCAGCTTGAGAAGATATTGGATGCCCTGCATGTAGAACATGATTTACATGATTTGGGTGGGTGTGTAGATGAAGGAATTGTACCTTGAATCGACAATGAATGTTGGACTCGTGGAGTTTCGACGTTATCTGGGGGCACAGGCGGCTCTGCTCGGGGCTGCATTAGTAAGCAAATGTACTTAAAAGTCGAGAAATTTACGCCTCGGCCCAGCGATCTTGATCGCGCTTACAGACTTATCAATCGTTCAGTCGCGTCAGTCCCGAACTCCGTTACTCCGCATGATCACCTAGCTCATTCAAGTTGTGTATCGACTTTGACATAACAATGGGGAAGGGGCCGCAGTTTCCCCTCAAATTTTGAGTTCAACCATTATTTCCCCATACACAGCTTATTTGAAGCGAAGGATGGTCGCAGACCGCTGGAGGTGAAACATGGCACAGTGATACAATTCGTAGGGAAATATGACCATTGGCAATTAATTATGAATCTAATTGTATTCTTGGTGCAACTTTTAGACCAAAACACGGCCATGATTCGGAAAGAGCTGCTTTGCGGCACATGATCAAGACAGCAGAGATCTTATCGTCTTCCACGAGCAATACAATTGCGAATGAGTACTTCTAACACACTCCAAACAAATTTCAAATGATCAATTTTATAATCGCCTCCACTTCGGAAGTCGTGGGCTCACGATCTACATGGCCAGGGTGCCGCATGGAGCTGGTGCGGGGGTGCATTTTTTCCAGCGGTGCATTATGCCACAATTGGCTACTCAGCGATTTACACGGGTAAGTAATCCAAGTCGCCACCTCATCAAATGAAATCGATAAAAGAAACATTGGGTTTGAAAGCGGCAAACTCACCGCTGAATGAGCGGCGGAGCACCGCTCTGGCCAAACGACTCGGAGCGGTAACCAATATGATGGTTTGACTTGCCAATGCATATGTTGGTCACGCAGTGACAGCTGGTATAACAATGGCCATTGATACTAGGATGTTGCTGATCCAGTTTTTCTTCCGCCGTATACCTTACTTGAGATGCCTTCTCAAACAAGAGCATTGTTCGAGCTCACCAGACTCCACTGGTTTCCAGTAGGGTGCGACTTTATGTTCTGGCCTTTCGGTGAGATGGAAAATGGAAGATGATGCAGCGTGCTTGTTATTTAACCATGATTTGTGACATCGTGTCTAGGTTGGGCCTTCCTGTCTGCAGCCTATCGTCTGGCGTTACCAGTGAACGAAGTCATCAGGACTACTTCATTTTTTGCATTGCTGGCCATACTGGTGCATAGCGCAGGCTGTGTTCTAAATGACATGCTTGATTGCGATCTTGATCGCAAAGTCGGTAGGTCTTAGTCCAACCCCGATTGTGATTTCTTGACATGTCCGATGCGGGATAGAACGCTCGCGAGGTCGACCGATCGCATCAGGAGTCGTCAGTACGACAAAGGCTTCAATGCTTCTGTCTGTTCTCATTACCGCCCTTTTCTACTTGTTTTCTACTTGTGGCACCAAAGCGTGAGTGGATCACTCAAGAAATGTCGAAACTTCTCTGAGAGACTATTCAAGTTTCACACTCGGCGTCGTTGCATTCCCCGTTTGCATCGCGACGTATCCGCTGATGAAGCGTTGGATGAATTGGCCTTCTTTGTTCCTCGGTATGACTTTACGTTGCATGGAAAAGCATTCCCCCTTATCTTGTTTTTAAGGTTTTGCTTCTAGCTGGGCCGTCCCAGGAACGTGGGTTGCAATGACTGACAATTATAATTGGGGTATAATCTTAAACATAGCAATTGCGTCGTGCTGGTGGGTGCCAAGGAAGGCAACTTTCGTTCAGTCATACTGATGATGCTTCCTTAGCTGGACTTGTATCTACGATACCATTTACGCATGCCAGGTGGCCATTTGAAATATTCTTCCACTCAGAGGCATGTGCTGATCATATTTCTCAGGACATAAAGGATGATGAGAAGGCCGGAATCAAATCCATGCCAGTTCATCTGGGCAAAGCCATTCGTCCTGTATTGACTTTATTCGATGCAACCTTCTTTGTATGTCTTTTGTGGGCTGGTTACTTGAACAACCAGCGCCTTCCGTTCTATATGATGAGTGTCCTTACCCCGTTTCTCCTGTGTCTCTGGCACATATGGTCTTTTGATCATAACGATCCAGGAGACTGCTGGAAAAAATTCACGGTGCGTCTAGCTGCCATAGCCATGTACCATAATTTTGATATGCATGGTACTCCAGGCCGGTCGCCACGGCGGGGCGATGGTTTGCGTTGGATTGATCGTTGATCACCACTTCAAACTCTTGTCCAACGCTGGTTGAAAATACAATTTCATTCATTTTTGCTGAGCTCTTTGTACATGATTATCGATTATCCTTTGGAATTCAGTGAGGATTTATGTAATTGCAACAGATGTAATACTCGCTCACCGCCAATGGTACAGTCACCTGGTGTTTAATCGCTACTAACACACGAGAATTTGACATATCTTTGAATGTATCTCCGTGCGCAAGTTGACAATGATCATGACCCAGAAGTTCAAGGGTTGCCCTGTCCGAAAACTCATGTCCGACCACTCTGGGGACAAAATCGTGAAAACCGCTTTTTCAAACGTGACTACTGATCGGCGTCCATCGAGAGCGGTGATGACAACCGCCTCAAACGTTTTATAACATGATCGTACCTGCGCAGTTTGCAGCTACCTCGCTACAAAGGAAGTCGATCAAGACATTCTATCCGCACCCATCGCGGAAATGAAAGCATCTTCCGCTTTTTGAAGTTGATCGGTCATTCCAAGGGTCAGACTTACGTGGAATCACGAAAAAAGAATGATCTTCTTGGGTATGGAGTCTGAACACAGGTTCATTGTTCACCCCAGCCTACCATCCTCGGTTGCCGAGAATTATTGGTTCATCCGGCACTTCCCTGACAAAATACGCCCCTCCTATCAAGTATATCGTGCGCTCTCGCATTCGATCACGGACAGTGAGATAGCTTGCGTTCAAATTGAAGGTGTTACTCGTCTTAAAGACCATAAACATCTCAGCCATCTGCTTGGTACGTTTGGAACGCGGGAGGATAAGATTGGTGAAGCGTGCATGGCTTGATAGCTGTGGAAGTCAACCAGCATCCTGTCGTCCTCAGTCTCGAAGACATGACAGGACATTGAGCAAGTTACTTGAAGTCTGAGTCTCCGTGAAAGCCTTAGAACGAATGTAGATTGGTGACGGACGGCCAACAGCATCGTCGACTGGACTCTGGAGTAGTAAGCTAGAGAGGGTAGACAGAGGTGTTATGCCAAGTGCCAGTGGCTTCGTTGAAGATATCGATATGATTAATATTGATTGAGGTTCAGTGAGTTCATCAGAGTGGGATATTGACGCACTTTCGAGCATCAGGAGGTGTAGCCTCGATCGTACGGTGTTGTTATGACTAGTACGCTGTGTTGTGTGATCACTACTCGAGTAGACTCTCGAGTGACTCGCTCTGTTTACATAATTGTAGACATTTGTCTATTTCTTAAATGCTTCCAGTCTCGCCCATTCACCCATTGGGCTACCATCCTCACCGACGATACCTCTCTGCGAGTAGGCGCTCGCAGGTGACGGAGAAGATGACCGGTTATACCCAGAATACTGCTGTTGTGGGTAGACGGGAGGAGTCTGCGGGGGTGATGGGTGATGATGTTGGTGGTGGGCAGACTGAAAACTGGACACGCACCCCCAAATTAGAAGAGCAATTAAAATGGCAGACATCAGCAAAACCCTCCTGGGCTAAATATACGTGATTATCAAAAATTATTCACTAATTTCTCAAAAAATGTCTGATTAGAAGGATCACATGGATTATGTTACCCCAAATAACTTTGACAGAATTAGTTACAATCATTAGTTATTTGACAAATTTGTCGTGCATTTGAGAGACCATCCATTCAAATTTCAAACTTAGAAGAGCATCATTCACAAATCTAAACACCATCAGACAACATTACACGAATGAATTAGTCTTATTATCAGAAAATGGTATGTAAAGTAGCAACACAGCTAGTAATGACCGACATGGACACTTGTATCAATCAGCGCTCTCGACAAATCAAATAGGTACACAAAACGAAAGGAGTATAGCCGCTACTAATCTGAGTCATCCTTCATCCCATTGAGGTCCAGCAGTTCAAAGGCAAATCGGTGAAGAACCGCCACCCGTTAGCGTTTCAATATTTCCGCAAGTGCTCGTCATAGAAGCTGTACACCTGTGTGATTTGCTGAGACTCGCAGTTTCCCTGTAGAATTGTAATGCGGTCGCGATACCGTAACCTGAGTGCCACAAGCAAAGTCACTGTTTTGACAGAGCAGGTTACAAGAATAAACAGGAACACACAAATTGACCATGAATATCCCCACACACAGTTACTGGGCATCATATGCTCCAGTAGCTGTAGAGACTTATTTTGAGCGAGGAGACACGTGCACTAGGAGAACAAATGTATATCTCAGTTTCTAGTAAGAACTCATTGTATGAGCTTAAGCACCTAGGAGAACAAATGTATCTAAGTCTCGTTAGTACTGTATAACGTGCGTGATGAACATAAACAGCTTACATCTCAGTTTCTAGTAAGAACTGAGATGCGAGGATGAATCTACTTGAAGATATATAGTGTTTAGCATAGAAATGCGATATTGAGAAAATAAACTTGGTAATATGGACTGAGTACGAGCCGACGTCATGCGTCGCTCGCTCGTCCTCTTTTGGCTGCGCTTGTACCTCTCTTATTCTCCCCCTGACGCAATCGAACTCGGATCTTTCAGCCTCTGCTATCGATACGTCGGCGTTCGACACTCCCCCTCGAGTGCAAGCCAAACTCATTCGTCCTCAGAGCTTCTGGATACTGTGGGCACGGCAACGGCTTTGTAAACGCATCAGCTAGGTTATCCTCAGAGGGACAATAGGTGACGGTGAACGTTCCCTTCTTGATGTGGGTGCGAATGAAATGGTATCGTAAGTCGATGTGTTTGGTCCGCGATTGGAACTTATTGTTGGACGCGAGCGCTATAGCCGCCTGATTATCACAATAGACAGGCGTGGGGGTGATGGGGACATCGTAGAGTTCGTGGATCAGGAGTTGGAGGTAGAGTATCTCCTGGGCGACAGTGGTGAGTGTGATATATTCGGCCTCAGCAGTGGATAGGGCAATTAGGGATTGCTTACGCGCTGCTCCATGCTATAGGGCCACCAGTTCAAGAGTAAAACGTACCCGGACATGGAGTGGCAATGGGGCTGTGACAGCCCAGTCAGCGTCTACATATGCCTCTAAGCCTGCCTCTGTGGTTCCAAGGGTGAGACCGAAATCTGCTGTTGCCTTTAGGTAGCACATGACGTGCTTACTTGCCTCCCAGTGAGCCCGTCCCGGATTTCGCATAAATTGCGATAGAGTTGCGACGGAGAACGTGATGTCGGGTCTAGTGCTGGTGGCAGTGTACATGAGGGAGCCTATGGCTCATTGGTATGGGACGTCGTGCATGTCTGTGTGTTCCGGTAGAGTCGACAGGGATTGGTCTATGGAGAGCTGGGCACCTGTGTCCATAGGCGTCTGGGCGGGCTTCGCGTCAGTGAGGTGGAACCGGTCGAGTACAGTGTGGACGTAGGCTTTCTGCGACAGTGTCAAGGTGCGCGCATTGCGATCTCAGATTACCTTTAGACCAAAGAGCCATGCGAGCTCGCCTAGGTCAGTGATCTCGAAATGTTTGCGCAGCTGACCTTTGAAACGCTCTATGTCACGCAGGTTGCGCGATGTAACGGCCATGTTGTCGACCGAAACAGTGATGACAGTGTGCTCGTCGTTGGTGCACTTGTAGAACACGGCTTGGTCCACCTGTGAATGGGTAAATCCTATCTTGAGGAATACTCCAGCCAGCTCTTCTGCCCACTCATATCCTGCCTGTTTTAGGCCCGGTAAACTCCTCCACAGCTTCAAGATCTTCTCCTTGTCTCCTTCCTTCAAGTATCCAGGCAGCGCTCGCATGTAAACCTCTTCTTTAAGGTCAGCGTACAAATATGCGCTCTTGATATCTACCTGATGGATTTCCCAGTTGCGTTGGGCTGCCATAGCCAGAACGGTGCATATGGTGGACATGTTGGAGGTGGGCGCAAAAGTCTCGAAGTAGTCGATTCCGTGTTGCTGCTGCTGTCCATTGGCCACTGAGGTGTGCGTGGAGCTTGAGCTTCTGTCTGTCCGGTCTGTGTTTTGTCACCAGAATGAAATGACAAGGTATGACATTGACGCCACGAGGTGTGTTCATGATTTCCCAGGTTCCAAGCTTCTCCAGCTGACTAATCTCATAGTCTATTGCTTCCTGCCACTCTACTCCGTCTGGGCCGTTCAATGCTTGCTGCAGCATTGGCTCTTTCTCTGCTGCTGCCATCGCAAGGTAAGGACTCTCTTCATCGACCAGATCTGATTCTTCTTCTTCCAGGATACTGTGGAGGGCAATGGACGCCTTCTCTCCATGGTGAAGAGTGGCATAATAGCCAATGGGTGGTCTGGCGCGCGTTTGGCATTCTGGAGCTGGCTGGGTGAGCGGTGTTACCTGTTCGGTTGGGCGAGATGGGGGTGTGAGCGGTGTTACCTGTCCGGTTGGGTGAGATTTGGTGCTCATAGGTGCATTGCTGTTTGTGGCGCTCTGTGTGGTGTTCTGGACGGATACTGGAGGTGATACTGGAGGTCCTGACTCCCCCTTGTCCAGAACATCATTAGCCACCACACCTGGAACAAAACTAATGTTCCTTTCCACAGACACCCTCCATTTCTCCGGCCAATATATCCAGTAACCTTTACTCTGCTCATCGATGCCAATGAAGATGGCCTCCACGGCTCTCGGCTCAAGCTTGCCCACATCCAGGAGGTGAATGAACACCTTCGCCTCGAACTCATGCGCAGATGCCAGGCTTGGCTTCACGCCATGTACCAGGTCGTGTGGGGTATGGCCTGGAGTGGCCCTAGACAGTACACAGTTTTTCAACCATACGGCATAGTTAATAGCCTCGGCCCACAGGAACTTAGGCAAATCCTGCCCCAGAAGCATAGCTCTGGCCGCACTCACTAGGGTGTGATTGAGATGCTCCGCGACTCCGTTCTGCTGGGGTGAATCGTGTACAGTAAGCTGACATTCTATGCCGTGGTCCTTCAGGTACTTATTGAACTCAGCACTCAGGTATTCTCCTCCCCGGTCAGAACAGCAGTTTACGGATCCGGGCATTGGGAGTTTGACGGGTGATGTTCGCCTCATAGTGCTTGAACGCTGTGAGTGCTTCGTTTTTCAACTTCAAGAACTGAACCTTGGTCTGACGTGAGAAATCATCGGTGAAGGTGATATAGTAGGTGCATCCGCCTAAGCTCGTTGTCTGCGCTGGGCCCCAGAGGTCCGTATGGACCACTTCCATGTAAGTAGCTGCCCTATTCTGTGTTTTCGTCCGGAAAGGGCTGATGTGTTGCTTTGCCTTGGTGCAGACATCACAAAACTCGGGGACTGATGCAGGGTCTATTTCAAGGCCTTTTACTAATCCTTTTTCGACCATATGCTTCACAGCAGTCTGGGAGACGTGTCCAAGGATATGATGAGCCTTCGCAAATGGTGAGCTTCCTTTTCGTGACATTCGCATAGTGCTTCTTTACTGATGCGATGGTGTACAGTCCCTCAATCTGAGGGATTTCGGCTATCACCTTCCGTTTGGGTCCCGCAGACAGCACCTTGCACATTTTCCCTTTGAAATGGACCACCAAACCGGCAGCTGTGATGCGGTTGGTAGAGACGAGGGTAAACACCATCTTAGGGGCATAGAGGGTGTTTCGCAGAGTGACGGTAGTGCGTTTCTCTCCCAGCGGTAGGTGGAGTTTCACGTCACCTCTCCCTATGGCACTAACTTTTGAACCATCTGCAGTCTGAACATCCTGAGGTGTTATAGCGACGAAGTTCTTGAACTTTGAGCGATCCGGGCAGAAATGTGCAGTGGCACCAGAGTCCATTATGGCCCCTCGGTGCTCTGTAGGTACATTAAGTCCTTCTGCAACGTTCGCAAGATCTGACATTGCGAATGCGAAGTTCTCTGCATTCCCAGGTTCGGTTGCAGCATTAGCTGCTTGCTTAGACAGCCAGTTACCCCTGTTCCATCTCTGGTTAGGCCCTTGGCCTTCTTTTCTGCCACCTGCCCTCCAGCAGTCTGCTTTATAGTGACCTTTTCGGTCGCAGTTGATGCAGTGAACATCCTGGGTCTTCTGGTTCGAGCTTCCTGCTGTGCGAGAGCGTTCCTGACCTGACTTGGTTGCCGACAGCGCAACATCCTTGCCCTTCTTTGAAGGACGCCGTTCAGTGAGCTGTCTATGCTCAAACTCTTCGGTGATGATGCTGATAAGTTCGTTGGGGGTAAGCGGGCTTTTCATTATCTTTGCAGCGGCGCTGATGGATGATAATAGAGGGCGATACGATTCGGGCAAAGATCCCAGAATAATGGCATGGAAATTGGTATCGACAAGGACTACCCCCATACTGGCCAAGGATTCGCGTAAATGCAGTAGCTCGGCGAAGTGGGCTTTTACATCGCCTCCCTCATCGCATCTAGTCTCTTGCAAGCGCCTTCGAAGATCTATCTGGACAAGTTCTGTCTTCCCTTCGTGGATCTGACAGATCTCGTCCCAGATATCGGACGCAGCTCAGTAGCTTTTGGACCCGCAAAAACAGGCGATCAGTGATCGTGGAGAATATCTGTTGCTTTACCAGTGAGTTCTTCTGCTGGTATTCGTCAGTCTTCTTCTCTAACTTGTTTATCTCAGTCTGCAAGGGCAGTGGTTCCATCAGGCTTGGTAATAGCCTTCATTTTGGGGTCAACTTTGAATGGAATAGGCTCACTTGCGCGACCATTGGTATAATGCATCAAACCTCGGGCACCTATAGCTGTTAACGTTCGTTCCTTATAGGTGATCCAGTTCGAGCCGTCTTCGGCAAGCTTCAGAACAGTTGAACAAGCTGGAGTTGGTACCAGGGAGCGCAGATTCCATGGTCGGGTCAGGGCTCATAACCTGTAGAGACTTATTTCGAGCAAGGAGACGCGTGCACTAGGAGAACAAATGTATATCTCAGTTTCTAGTAAGAACTCGTTGTACGAGCTTAAGTACCTAGGAGAACAAATGTATCTAAGTCTCGTTAGTACTGTATAACAGTGCGCAATGAACATAAACAGCTTACATCTCAGTTTCTAGTAAGAACTGAGATGCGAGGATGAATCTACTTGAAGATATATAGTGTTAAGCATAGAAATGCGATATTGAGAAAATAAACTTGGTAATATGGACGAGTATGAGCCGATGTCATGCGTCGCTCGCTCGTCCTCTTTTGGCTGCGCTTGTACCTCTCTTATTCTCCCCCTGACACAATTGACTCGGATCTTTCAGCCTCTGCTATTGATACATCGGTGTTCGACAGTAGCGTCATTCTGTTGTAAGAGCAGGTGGAGGAGATGTCGGAGGTTCGCTCAAAGGAGAAGGTCCATGTAGGATCAACAAACTTACATCCTGTGAATGGCAGGCAACAACTTGGATCAGCATGCCTGTTGCTCGAATGAGGATCAACAGACTTACATCCTGCAAATGGGGGGCAACACCTTGGATTAGCGTGGCTGTTGCTTGAACGAGGATCGGCACACTCACTGCCTGCGAACAGTGGGCAATGCCTTGGATCAGCATGGCTGTTGCTCGAATGAGGATAGACAGACTCACGAGTTGCGAACGGTGAGCACGAATGACAGGCCATGACAACTTCGGTCAGCATGGCTCAACCTAGAAGCAGAATCGGCACACTCGGTCTGCAAACAGTGGGCAATGACAAGCACAAAAGGATGACTATGAACTGTTAAACATAACTTTTTTTTATATCTAAGATGTACCTATCAGCTTGATGGTTGAGGCTGACAACATTGAGGAATCATAATGAGGGATCGACATCGGAAGTTCAAAAGTTCAAAGGTTTTCAAACTCAAGTCATGTGAGTCAAACAAATACACTGTAAATGGTTTGATTTCAATATCTACCAAACAGTCATGTGAACGAAACAAATATGTGCAAATGACGAACTTCAACGAAATTTCAACTTCATAAGCCTTGTGAAGACTTGGTTACAAATGATCTCAAAGGTGTGTGATTCGGTGCTTGCCGTCTGATTGTTACTCAAGGACTCGCTGCTCACTGACTCATTAGGTTTCAGTGTGGGTCAAGTTTGAGTTATATTCTCCTTGCCCCCAAAGTCTTTACAATTGCTCTTTCCACCCACTGTCAACATTCCTCCTCACCTCGCATATATCAAATGGTTCACTCCCTTCCCATCTGCTCCAGGACCAAAACAATGGACTTTATAAACTGTCAAGATTGATGTGAGGTAGTGACAGAGTGGCTAGTATCATGCCAGTGGGTGATATCATGCTGCAGTATCCACCTTATACCGAAGTTTGGAGACTCGGCTCTGCGAGAATGGATGAGCTGAGACTGTTCTTGAGGACTGTAACACTGTTTTGGGTCAACTCATACATTGATAGACATACTTTTTCAATATTCAGATAATCCTTACTAATTCTCTTCTGTTGTGAAACAATTTTATATTGCCGCTATGTTGTTATCAACTTTGTTTCTAAACATGAGTAATTAGGAAAAATTATACGAACTTTCAAGATTACATGAAATTTAGCCCAGGAGGGTTTTGCTGATGGACAGGCTGAGGGTGTTTACCTAAGTTGCTGTTCAGGCAGAGGTGAATATCCATCTCTGCCTGAACAGCAACTTCATCAGTAAACTACAATGACCTTGTACAGCTCCTACAGAATGCTACAGTGCCACAGCTTGGTCCCTTCTGTACAGCTCTGTACAGAACGTCCTAGCAACATAAACCAAAACAAAGTCGCATTTTTGGCATATTAAAATGCCAAAGGCAGGAACTGAACTTGGAATACTACAAGACAAGTAACAACACATAGATATTATATTCTAAGTAATCCTGAGGCATGAGGTCTTATGTAGAATTGGGTCTCTATGCGACATTGAAGACTTTTGTGGACTCACCTTTCTTGCTTTGTACCACTACATACTACTCGCAAGTTCTCTTCTCCTCAACTCCACTCTTGTTTCATTGCAAATTTTACTCTCATTTTTAACATAATTCAATGCCTAGAATTCGAAACGATCCTAATTTCAATGTCTGCCCAGACTACGCTACACTTCCTTATGCTGCCGCTCGAGAACAAATCATGAATGAACACATCACTGAAGTTCAGGTGGTACAATTTCTATGGAACATATGGGAGGCCGCAAACAACACCGAGAAGGCACTGTGGCTTGAGCAAGTTGGAGCTGACAAAGAGCAACATGACCAACTTTGTTTTCTCCAGGAAGAGCAAGAAGAGAGACAGGAATGTGAGAAGCTAGAAGAGGAAGAGGCTGTGCGGAAGGAAGAAAAGAAGAAATACAAACATAAGTATACACCCATTCAAGCTTCTGGAGTTCTGGATGAGCCTACCATCATGCCATCAGCATATGCGATTCGCAAACTGGACAAAGGCGAATACATGGAATTATGGTATTTTACCAACAATGGTCTTGATGAGGTGCACATTAAAAAGACCACCATTGAAGAGGATGTGATGGTATTATCTTCTCTCCCTGATGGCTCAACAGCATGGGTATCTTCCACTTCGGCTCGCAATGCTTCATCCGTCATCAACAACAAAGACCTTTCTTTTGAGGACTTTTGTCAAGCATGCCCTAGGTTCATAGCAGCCATAGAAGAAGCCAACTGGCCAACAGATCACATCAGAATGTTAGCGGTTTTTTGGAAAAACCTTCAGGTACACAAATATTGTTCATTGCAGGATCCAATAGCACAGAAGACACTACTTGCCTATCAAGTGGAACAGCAGAAACGCTGGCATGTAGTGGCAAAAACAGCTGCTGGCCCTTATGACTTATCTGCCATCAACACCAAAGTATTGGAACGCACAAGAGATAAGGTCTATTGGCAAGAACACTCGAAGAGAGACAATCAGAGAGACTACAGGGTCAGTAATGCTCAAACAGAACACCTTAGAATACACTAACAATTTTCCCTCTCCGTTTTTCAATACACTGAAATATCGTGCACCATATATACATAATGCTTCATGCCTCATGCCACACGCTACATGCCTCATGCTACCTGTATGCTCCCACGCTACGTCCTTGTTCCCTGACACTCACAGGATGACCAAAGAACTGCTTCATCGCACAGCTTCGGTTCGAGTTTGGATCGTGATCAACGAGACTCTCACAAGCGAACCATGTCCCCAGAGCATGGCAGCACGAGGAAGAAACCATAGCAGGATTTTTGGACAGGCACAAGCAGAAACACCCTGTCCGCTTGTTCTGTATGCCTTGGGCGCAACCTTCACAGGATTATCGAATGCAAGTCCCTCAAGACTTGGGATAGCACCCACGATACACTTTGCACCTGCCTCAACAAGCTTCTCACAATGTGAGATGCTCGAGCCATCTGCAGTGACTGGCAAAGAGTCAGTGGATGCAATGATACTTCCCATGATCGACACCATTTTTGCTCTGGATGTGCAGCCTCCTCTCATGGAGCCCAGGCATGCCCTTGAGCTCAGAAAGCTTAGAGCCGTTTCACCCTACAAGCCGGATGTGTGGGAAGCCAAGCTCATTCAGGCAGGACTCATTGATAGATACCCACATGTTCCTGATGGTCTCCGTCATGGTTTTCTTCTCAATATTCCTAATATTAGTATCATGCAAGCACCTCCAAACAAAGAATCCATTACTACCTATCAGCAACAGTTCCTGTCCATTATTCAGTCTGAAGTCAAAAAAGGTAGATATCTTGGACCGTTTCAAGCCAATGAAGTTCATGACCTTATTGGTCCTTTTCAAACCTCTCTGTTTTCCATTATTCCGAAGCCTGGATGCCCAGGAAGCTATCACGTTATCCAAAACTACTCTTTCCCACATAATACATCGAAAAAATTCCCTAATCAATCAATTAATTCTTACATCAATCCGGACAATTTTCCCAGCACTTGGGGAACTCTCCACATGCTTGCCCTCACTATCAGCCATTTACTGCCAGGGTCACAGTTGGCAACAAGAGATGTTTCAGAAGCTTACCGCACCATACCCTTGCATCATTCTCAGTGGCCAGGATCGGTCATACAAGTTTCTGACTCTCTTTTCTGCATTGACACCTGTACCTGCTTTGGTCTCAGGCCTTCAGCAGGTGCATATGGCATTGTGGTGGATGCAGGACTTGACCTTTTCAGATTTAGCGGCATTGGTCCTGCGTCTAGGTGGGTGGACAATCATCTATTTATTCAGATTCTTCGGAGTCATCTTGCAGAATACAATAGACAGCGGCAAGAACATCACCTTAAAGTCATTGACCAAGGCCAACGCCAGGATGGAGGTAGAATCTGGTTTGGGGGAGAGACTTTCAAAGTTGGCATGATCAATGAACTCGACAAGGATAGTCGTTTTCTAATTTGGGACCTCTCAGTGTCTTTGCCAAGATCAAAAGAAGAAAGTCTTTTTACCTGCAACTTCGCTGACATCGATGACACATCAGACGAACTCAGCATACCTTGGCAGCTCGCAAAAGATGCTCCCTTTGCCTATGCCAATCTGTACATTGGGTTTAGCTTGGATATCACATGCAATGTCATTTATCTGGATCAGCCGAAGAAAGATAAGTATCTCCTTGTGATCAAGTCGTGGTGCGCATGCAGGAAACACATTCTCCAAGAAGTTCAGCAGTTGTATGGTAAACTACTCCACACCACGTTGGTCATGCCAAGGGGATGCATGTACCTTACCTTATTGGAGGCAATGCTCAGTAATGGCTCCTTCAAACCTTTTCTCCCACGCAGTCCACTTAAGACACTTCCAGCAGACCTTGACTGGTGGGTCAGTATTCTTCAGAGCTCCTTTGTTGGTTGCATCATTCCCTCACCAATCAATCATTTACATGACCCAAAGGCCTACTCAGATGCTAGCTCAGGCGTTGGAATTGCTATCATCATTGGATCTTGATGGAGAGCATGGCATCTCCGTCCAGGCTGGCAGACACTTAATGGCAAAAAAGACATTGGATGGGCTGAAGCAGTTGGGTTTGAGCTCCTCACTCAACACCTTATCCAGTTGGGAGGACCAGAACACCATCTGCGCGTCTTTGGGGACAACAAAGGCGTTGTTGAGGGTTGGTGAAACAGGTGCAGCAGGGACTCGGCCATTAATGCAGTCTTCTGACAGGTTTTTGCATTTATCCACAATCAACCAACTCCATACACTATCTACCCAGCATACATTCCAAGCGCCTCTAATCCTGCTGATGATCCTTCCAGGGGAATCTATGCCAGCACAGAATTCCTGCTCCCTGCTTTCCCGATTCCCATCAAACTCGATCAATTCATCCTTGATCCATTTGTCAGCGATTCCTGCTGTGAACGATTCTGAGATCGCTGCAAGAGCAGCTGCATCGCCCCAAGGTCTGTTGTCGATGATTCCAACCTCAGCCATGAGGATCCTGATAACACCATCATCCTAGATCACCTCTATCACATTAACAAACGACAATGGTACAACTGATGTGTGGTTTGGTGCATCCCTTCCAATAGATCCAATCACCAAACCACAGCCCTACAAGGCTGGACTGATACCCATCCCATTGTCACTTTGCCCTCATTGCCTCGCATGCGACAGGTTAAAGCTTTGGTTCCCGCTACAAAGCAGGTCAGTGCAAGATGGTAATGGAAGATTCTTAGCCATCATGGATGAAGATCTGGAGAGAGTCATGTCGGTTATAAACTTAGCATGGGCACAGGGAATGAGGGAATGCTATGGAGCCGGTCTCTTAGTCTTTCACATTTTTTGCAATGTGCAGATTGTACCAGAAGAGCAACACTGCCCAACAGATACCCTTACCATCCTAGCCTTTATCACAAGTTGTGCAGGGTCGTATGCAGGACGAACCTTGGCCAACTATGTATATGCGATCTGCGCCTGGCATATTTTGCATGGTCAATCCTGGGGGGTGAATCAAGATCAACTAAAAGCTGCATTAGATGGAGCCATCACTCTCACTCCGCGATCCTCCAAATGAGTAAAACGCGCACCTTTCACTGTCAAAAACATTCTGGACATTCAGCACATCTTAACTCATCCCTTCCACTTGATGCTACTGTTCTTGTGTGCTTGACGAGCACATTCTATTCATTATCACATCTTGGAGAATTCACAGTCAAAACTATAACAGGCTTTGACGGTAGTCAACACGTCAAATGCTCCGACGTGATATGGATGCTGAAGACCGCAACTGGCCTGCAAGTCACAAATATTCATCTATCGTGGACCAAAAATTTGTTCTCCAGTGAGGACAGTTTACTGGGCGCATCAAGCAGATCCACACTGACCCCAAAATGGCGCTTATCAATCATTTTGCAGTAAATGATCCAGCACCTGGCGAACATCTTTTTGCTTGGCGTCACCCTAATGGAATGAGACCACTCACGAGAACAATGTTCTTAAAAAGGATAGGAGAGATAATCAGGAAGAATAACATGCCGAACTTGAAGGGGCATGGACTTCACATAGGAGGCACCTTGGAGTATCTCTTGAGAGGTGTTCCTTTCAACTGTCGTAAAATCAATGGGAAGATGGTCTAGCAATGCATTTACCAGATATTTGCGTCAGCACGCCATGATCATGGCCCCATACTTGCAGGAGTCGCCCGCATTGGAGCCATTCACTCACTACACCATGCCACCACTTCATTAATTGAGGTATGTACACATCATCCTTCTCCTGGTTGTTTGGGAGTCCAAGCTAAGCCTTGATGCATCACAAGGCTCCTGTAATTTTTGGGATTCACAGCTCACCCTGGCCTCTTTGCGCACAGGGTCGAAACATTGTTTCGAGTCAAAAAACCCTCCGGGTTTTCAGCCCAAATAGCTTCATCTCAAGTATCTACTATTTGTTCAAATCAGTTAACTTTGTCGCGCAATGAACTGATCTCTTTCACATCACAAAATAAAAAACAAATGCATAGACCACTGCACCATGGTGCCTTTGATATTCCCAAAATACAATAACATTTATACCAATGATGCTCAAGCCTCATAATGTTTTCAACAAGTTGTACAAAAATTTCATAAGCTTTGCTCTAAACTAAGGCTTAGTGTACTTGTTTCACTATAGAAAAGATCTATTTGAACTTTGAGACAATAGACAACATAAAAGTGATAGATTTGAACAAGGGCAAATTGTACAACTTGTTGAAAACATTATGAGACTTGAGCATCATTGGTATAAATGATATTGTACCTTGTATTGTAGCATTTCAAGTTCAATTCCTGCCTTTGTCATTTTAAAATGACAGAAATGTGACTTTGTTTTGGTTTATTTACTACATTGTGTATGTAGAAGATGGTCAAGCAGGAGACAAATATCAAAACCTTGATGATGAAGTTGGACAGTCAGGGGAAGAATATCCAAACCTTAATAATGAATAGCTAAGCCTTGACTGTCTGACTTTGTCATCAAGGTTTTGGTATTCGTCTCCTGCTTAACCATCTTCTATGTACACTGGTGGTTGTGCATAATAAGTACCTGTTAATATTTTGTGTGCCCAATTCTGATGATACCTTATCTGAGGACTCCAGTTCTTGTCTTCAAAGAGCTGACAAGGCACTTCTATATGTAGTACCTGAGTTACATCAGTAGTGTAATCAGCCAATTAAAGATCATTTATTGTTTATTGTTGTTAGCGATGTTTTCCTCCGAGTGTGTTATCTCACACTGTGCATCACTGAAAACCAATGTTCCCCATAAACCATTATATACACATTATCATGTAGATAATAACCATATCCGGTTAAAATATGACAGTGCAAGATATATAGGCATATATGTGTTTAGAATATAAGGGCTAGACAAATGTTAGGCCTCAGTCGTGGATAACGGACTGAATTACTATATACCTAGACAAATGTTAGGCTATAGTAGTTGAGTTAGTGTCTAGGTAGTATGCAAAGGAATAAGAGACATACCCTCTGTGTGGATAATGGACTGAGGGGAGAGGAATGAATGAAATAAAACTATATAGTGGTTTGAATTCCTAACCAATACTCTGCTAATCCGCGCCGTGTCGTCATGTGTGTGCCTTGTGTGCCAACATAGGACACTATCCCCTATGACCAATGAGTGTCATGAATCATGTAGTGACAAATACTAGTACTGTTTTGAAGTGATAAACATATTCAACAAAGTGTTTCTCATGTAGAATTTCTAGCACAGTGGCTCTCCTGTCCAATAAGTAACAAAAATATAAATTCTTGCCATCTGTACCATCATACAGACAATTGCTTCAAATACTGGTATTATGATATTACAAATTTTATACTTGATTAGCCAGGAAATCATATTGGATTGTATGTGAGTTATACAAAAACACTTGGTACAATACATGCGCTCTAGTACCCCAATCTCATAACAATAACTGACAGCGGGTAACCACAACAGATATTGTGAGTGTCTTGAAGTCCAACAAAAGCAAGACATAGTGGTAGCTTGATGCCACTATTTCCCAGTCTATACAGTCATAATGATACATCTAATATACTGTAATGACTGAGAAAAGTCGGGTACAAAAATGGGGTGAATGACCTTGGTGTTCTCAGCTATCGCAGGGATGTATCAATGGGATCCTCCATTCATGGCTTCTCTACCCATTTAGGTCATGTATCTGATACATTGGCTTTTGACTATCATACTGATGTACCCATTTGGTGCCAGATCCTCCTAATATGTTTTTCTGGGCTTCTCTACCCATTTAGGTCATGTATCTAATACATCGGCTTTTGACTATCATACTGATGTACCTGTCCATTTGTGGCTTCTCTACCCATTTAGGTCATATATCTGATACATTGGCTTTTGACTATCATACTGATGTATCTGTTTGGTGCCAGATCCTCCTAGCGCAGGCACTTCCGGGGCTTGTATCCATCCTTCTCGAGATGTATCTGGTACTGATGTACCCATTTGGTGGATCCTCCTAGCATGGGCACTTCCAAGGCTTGTATCCATCCTTCTCGAGATGTATCTAGTACTGATGTATCCATTTGGTGGATCCTCCTAGTGTGGGCACTTCCAGGGCTTGTATCCATCCTTCTCGAGATGTATCTGGTTGAACTCCCTTTGCTCCATCCCTTACTTTCAGTGAAAGTCAGACATGGCCATTTCCACGGAGAGGTCCATGCATAATACATATCTTATTGCTCAAGTATTTCGTACTTCACCACACTTGAACCAGCTTCAATATTTCAAAAGTCCACTTACCTGTGACTTGGAGTTTCAATGAACTCTCCTCTCACCATCATCAGTGCATTATTACTACCACAGCTGCAGAACTCTTGGGAAAACCTTGTCACGACGACTCAAATGATGTGAGTTTTTTTTGCCTTGGTTGTGTCAATACTAGATGAAAATGTTCGAAACAGGGTGCATATAACCACTCCGAGTCATTCAACTCAATCTTCTAGTACCTGACATGTCTCATGCCACACCAGTACATTTGTTTTCAGTACTGCTACTCTGATTCACTGATCTATTGTCAGCCTAGGTTTTGGATGTTGCTTCAAGCTTTGTGACATCATGAGGACTTCTGCTTGTCATGGTTTGGGCCCCAATAAATACCACGAATGCTGTCAAGCAGTATCATTTTCATTCATTTCATCGTGCTCTATTCTTATTGTTACAGAACTACAACATCGAGGCTTTGAATCTGGTAAGTACTATTAATATATGCTCATTTGTGTATTCCATCTAGGTTACTGACTGCATGTCATCCACAAATCTGGTCAGAGTCCCTGCAAAGTTCTCTAGCAGCATGTTGCATTAGCTGGGCACCAGGGTAGGACAATCCTAGAGGGAGGAGCTAGTGCAAATGAGCATGGGTAGATTTTATTCCCATGTTTTGTATTGTATGCCATGTTGCAATGCATCAATTTCCATTGTAGGTAAACAACTTTTGCTGGACACTACACAAAGTGAGTGTCTAGCAAAATATAATAGTTGTGGTCTAGCACAGCCTAGTCTGCTATACTTGCAGAACAAGTGTGTTCAACCCGAGGGGTTAACTGTTGGTAGTAGAATAATTAGTTATACTGAAAGGAATATAGTCCGAAGTGCAGGAAACAAAGTCTGAAGGTATAATTACGAGTCCGAAGGTAAAATGTCAGGGTCCGATGTTTTTCAGGTTTTGGGTTAGCAGGTTTCAGCAGGTTTCGTCAGATAACATTGAATTAGTGTCGGATTAGGAAGAGAATGTCAGGGATAGTGAACGGCGGGTTACTGACAGTGTTTCAGAGTGTTTCGGATAAGGAATGGATGATATTGTGGAATTCAGTGAAGAACTACAGATATCAAATGACCTCCTCCTACTCAGAGGTAGAAAGGTATGACAAATAAGAAGGAGGTATGTGAAATATATACAGTACATATCCCAATAATGCACATCCCAGTCATGCATATCCTAGATAATGCATTGATTTTGGCAGGGTCCCATCATGGGCGCAGCCATTATGCACTAAAAACTCCATACTGAATAATGCATGAACTTTCGAGGGTAATATGCATTGTCTGGGCACTATTGATGGAGGTTGCATTGTTCTATGTGTGAATATAAGCACCAAAATATGCTAGATAACATATCACAAAAGTCTTTACAATGTCTCAACCCCTCGCATTAAAGCGCAAAGCTATCAATAAACCTACTCAGGAAACTGCTAAGCCTGCCAAGAGGCAGAATGTATCCAAGGATGCCCCCACAACGTCGGCTCAACCACCACCAGCAAAACACCTATGACGAAACCTTACTCTTGCTGATTGTATTACAGTCTATGGTTATGTTGATGAGCATTCCACTGCTAATCAATCAGATATTGTCAAGTATTTCGAGACTCTTCCTACTGGGGCACTCATACTTATCTACCGCAGTCATAACAAGGTCACACGGTGTCACAAACTGTGACATCTAGTGTCGTGCATATTCATGGTAATGCATGGCATTTTCAGCTTCCTGACCGTATGCATTATTGGGATATGTACTGTAGTGTCTATGTAGAATTTTGGAGTGCTATAGGCGAAAGTAGTAGCACTAACTTTCGGGTGCGATGTCCTATGTAATAAGACATGTGGTACTGTGGACATGTAATAACATGTTCTACAATGTTAGTGATGTGAAAACTGATAACTGCGCACCTAGTGGGGGTAGATATGACAGGACAGGACATAGGGAGAACAAATGTGTGGGAAAATATCGGATCCAAAGTGGCCAATGCATGGGAATCATCGGATTAGCATCAGATTTAGCGGATAAATGTCGGATTGAGTGGATGAGTGTTGGATAACATCAGAAGTGATTTGTGTATGACATGCATCAGAAAATAGCTGAATATGAGCTCAGCGCTAGCTCGAGTGCTACACTGTATATGTCCCAGGACCTACTGGACAATGTATCTGTGCTTTAGTCACTGGGGCTATGTATCCATCCTCAGTTTTTGCCTTCAAGTCAGATGCCCTGAACAGCCCCACAATACTTGTAAATTATTGCAATCTTCTGGATTCAATCACCATTAATAGCACATGGGCACGTCATATTCATTTTCAGATAGTCTCAATACTCATTGATACAAAGTGTTTTCTTGAGACCACATGCAGAATATATTTGAGCATGAACATAATTGCAAAATTTCATAGATACATTATTAATGGGATACTCAAGAATATTGTATGAACAAAGGGAAGTGAAAGGAAATATATGATGACTTAGGCAATTTTTTGCTTCCTGCACAAAGGTAATGAGTTGCGAAGCATGTGAAGGTGTGAGAACACTGAGTACGACTTACTTCCTGTATGCACCGTTAACACCAGAACTCCCCTGTTTTTTAGAGCCAGTATTCTCTGACCCAATCGAGTTGGCAATTTTGTTGTGCTTGGAAATCTGCTGGACTCATTTACTACGACTGCCAATCAATGGTGCGGCCTCTGCAGAGGTACACCCGGAGGGTACAGCCTCTGCAGAGGTAGACTCAAAGGGTGTGGCCTCTATGGAGGTAGAATCGAAAGGTGCAGCCTCTGCAGAGGTAGACTTAGAGAGAGACTGTGGGTGCAAACAGGAATAAACAGAATTGTTTTCTGTGATAAGATCCATCATTGTGGGTACAGTCTCCACAGAGGTAGACTCAGAGAGAGGCTGCAGATGTGAATTAGCCAGATGCAAATGGGAATCAGCAGAATTGTCCTCTGTGATGAGATCCATCATCACAGGTGCAGCCTCTCGCAGGTCCTTTGCAGAGGTAGGCTCGGAGAGAGGCAGCAGATGGGATTCAGCAGAAGCTAGGGTGGGTCCATGTGTGGGATATAGTGGTGTTGGAATTGCCTGAGGAGCCATGTATGTTCTCAAGAACTTGTGGTATCCTTCCACAGACAGCATTGAAGAAGCATCATCAAGATCCAAGTCCATAGAAGCAGAAGTCAAATGTGAAGGATATGAAGGGAGCATCTTTAAAGTGGGGTCATCGTCATCAAAAAAGGATGTGAGTGGTTCAGATAGAGGAAATAATATATCTGAGGATGACACCACTGTTAAAGCATCATGTGGGATATTCCAAAAAGGCACCATCAGATGTATCAGATGTCTGTGATACTTGTCCATCAGAGCTTTCTTTCCATGGCTCAGGCTCTCGTGTTGGTTGTTGACTTCGCACCCCAAACACTTCCTTCTTCCTTCGCCATTGTGACCGTTATCAAGCCCCAAGTCAGAAACATTCCAAGTTTCGGTTTCACGGACTTATGAAACACACACTTAACGAACTCTTTCCATGGTCGCATGATCCCTGAGTTAAACTCAGGATATGCAAGGTCAAACTGATTTCCAATTTCGGTTACACCAACATGAAAGCTCTGGACATCAATCTGTCCGCCCATTGCTGGTGTTGAGCTACCCATAAGAACTGTGAAAACAAGACCAGTGAGTCTCTGGAGCTTGTCGAAGAACTCAGTGAGGACACCAGGTAGTCTATTGATATATCTGGAGATGTGAGTTTCAGGTGAGTGCTTTTATCCACTTGGATATTGTAGATGCAACTAACACTTGATGGTCAGCTACCCTTGTGCCCTTTGCCTCTTCCCACTCTTTCTTCTTCTTCTTTTTGGCTTCTTCAATGAACTCCGCCACCTGTTGTTTGACCTCATCAGACACTGAGTGATACAGCAGGCTCGTTTGCTTCCTGATAATGGCTATATTTGATGGCATCTTGACCTCTCTGTTCTCAGCTGCAGGCTGCAGCACTTGCCACAGCTTCAGCCTTTGCTATCTCAATGGCAAGATTAAAAGTAAGTTTGATCATGTCATTGAAGAAAAGCTTCGAGAACACCTCCATTACCTGCAGATCATGAACGTGCCTCGCACTGCTGATCATCTGAGCAACCATACTCTTTTTACTGGTTACAGCTGGTGTCAGAGATGTGCTTGTTGTAGCTACATCTGCAGTCATCATTTTATTATTGCAGTTTTTGGTCTGATGGCTGACTTTAGATGAGCCCATATCATTTTTGAATGTATTCATAATTTGCTGATGAGTCAATGTTCTTGTAAGTGCTTGCTTTCAACTTATGATCATGGTAATGTACCTGTTGATGGTGCTCAACGGCCTTGCCTACCTCGGTCTTGTGCTCGACGGTCAATTCAACATCAAGGGGGACATCCTTGAAGACACGAAGTCATTCCAGGAATATTGAAAACCATTCCTCAAACACTGGCTCCTAAAATCCACTATAATTGCGCTTTGCTTGACACACTTGGTATTTGGCAGCATGCAACTGAAAGAACTTCTCTTCCTCGATGGTAGCTGTCATATCCTGTATTCCGGACCTACATCCGATAATATTCCCACGCCTCATCCGGACCTTCAGATGTCCTATCCATGTCTCCAGTACCCATCCAGATCCCTGCACCTCTGCACATCCACATCTGCATGTCCATGTCCAGATCCCTTATCCTTCACAGCTAGCCTGCATCATCCATCCTTGTCCCATCGCCCCAATGCCACATCCTATATATCCACGCATCTCATCTGGACCATATCTGATCCGGTCCGATCTGATGTATAGATCTGCTTCCGATCTGATATAGATAAGCTTCCTAATTCATTTCCTGTTCTTATAACGTTATACACAGCCTATTTGGTATTTCCTCTATTCCGCTGTGTCGGTTATATCTATTACCAGTATGCTTACTGATCCATTAACCTATGTTCATTTCCGACTTGCATTTGTCAACCTTTGCATATGCTTCATACATAGCCTTGGACTCTGCTTATTGATCCTTCCGTTATTTCTTTTAGTATATAAACTCGTGTATATGTCTTGTAGTACCTCAGTCTGAATATCATATTAGTCCTCACACTAGATCTCACTCTAAGTCCTCATATCAGTTCTAGTCTTCCAACTTAGTTGTTATCCATCTCAGGCCTAGGGAGTTTCTCCCTAGGCCGGAGCTCTGCTTATCTGATACTCCGCTCATCCGCTCATCCGATCCTCTGTAGCTTCCGGAAGTTCATCCGGATCTTTCCCGCGGTCCTCCGGACCTATTCTGCTTTGGACTTTGTCCTTGCAGCCTTTCCTCTGTTTACTTCTACTCAGGACAAGTCCTGAGTGGCCATTATACATATCCATATCAGGATGAAACCTCATCATAATTTCCGGAAGTTCCTCCAGAACTTTCCCGCACTCATCCAGAAGTTACTTGCACCCATCCGGAAAGTCCTTCCGAAGTTTCCTGCGCCTTCGGATGTCCTTTGGACATCTTTGGACTTTCCTCGGACACCAATCTGAAATTAAGGGCACATACTTGGGTAAGGGGCGCAGTGCACGAGCTGAAGCCAAGCCCCTCAGAATCAGTCCTACCCTTTGTGCATGGTCTTAACAGTAGCCCATTTTGATGGTGCCATCTATTATTCATGGTGAGTGACACAATAAATATAAGGATGCCTCGTTAATGCACACTTTTTGTCCGAGATATCATACTTTGTGCATTGATGGCAAGCGAAATGAAAAAAAGAACGAAGCTTATTTGACCAGGAAGTAAGTCCTAGTGATGTGCGTGGTGCACAGACCATCGAAGCTCAATGATTTATATTCATTGCAAGATTTAGGTGGTCAATTTCCTATCTATGTACCATTTAGCATGTCATACTGCTCAGGACAGCTTTGGTGAAAAACTCGGCTTTAAGGATTAAGTTAACACCGAACATTTCAAACAGTTAAAGTTCAGCGCTTAGCGCTCAGCCCCCGAGGAACCAATCATTCTTTAGATTGGAGTTGAATTTAAGGTGTTAAACATAACAGGTACTCACTCACTAGCGCCCCGCTTGGTTGTGATGAGTGACTCTATCTCAGTGTATCCCCCTCCCAGGCCTCCCTGAGAACTGACATTCACCATAAATGAACTTGCAATGGTACTACAGCTGATTAGAGATCAGAATGGTGAGTGTCTTGTGAGTTATTTAGTGCAGGTTTGATATGATGTCAAATTTTTCAACAGAATGTTTTGAATGTGCCCATGATGGCATCACTGCAGAGTTTCCCTCACTGCAAACAATGCCAGGAGCCTGCCCGGCATGTGCCTTATGGAACCATTGACGTAACTGTTATGCTTGTCATGCTGAGATTCTGGAGGAACCTTTGAATTCAGCCAATGTCCTGCTTGATCCCTCTCAAAGCAGCAGTGAAGTGTTCCTTTGACGATGCTGAATATCATTACTGACAAGGTTGCAGTTGTTACTACAGGTGCAGATCCTGCAACCTGCCATCAAGCCTGAATGTAGATAATCTGTACTTTCTTGCTGTCTGTTCTTGACCACTTGATCTTGATATCAGTCCTGCCCTATCTCCTTTTACTATGTCATTGTATATAATTTATGAAATGATATTTGCATCATCACTGATAACTGCAGAAAGCTCAAAAAGATGTGATCTTGCCCGCATTCATTTGTCCCGAAGTGCTGGTACAGCGAGTGTCCCATTTAAGTCCAACTGTTACAGTGAGTGACCTCATGTGAAGCTTCAACTTTTAACCAATTTCAATGTTCATTCATTTGCATCAACAGATTGTTAGTGACACTTCCTTCATGCCAGCCAAGTACAAGAGCGAAGCACAATGCCGCAAGGCTCGGTTGCTATCTAAACGAAGATGTTATGAAAGGTCTGTGTCATTTGTATCATTCTGCGCATCTAATTCTCAAAATGCTTGTTTGTCCTAGGCACAAGCTTGATGAACACTTTAAATTTTGAACTTGTTGGCATAAACAAATTGGAGCTACAGCAGTACGTGGCTTATATTAAACTTCCCTCAATGACACTTACATATCATGCAATCGGCCAGGTCACACAACAACTTTTGCAGCAGCTTGATAACATATGGTTTGACCTAGGTTATTGTCCCGGACCTTCTCAATATGCTGTGCTTGAGTTATGCAGTTTCACACTCATTCAAGATGCTGACAATCTGGGCTGGCCATCAACAAGACCATCCTGCGAGGGAATGGTGTCAGACGCCCAACAACTTCTTTGCAAAGCTCATGAAGTGCTTTCTCATAGCTTGAATACAGATGGGGCCTGTTCAGACTATCTTTGCTCAGGTGCTGCAGCTACCATGGATGTGGTTGAGTTGGATTATGATACATGGGAGGAACCCTTGTCTTTGATAGACAATAGTGTAGAGACTTACTTTGATCTTCTCAAGCATAATGGTCTTGCATGGCAGAAAGCTTTGAAAGCTTGCAGCTGAATTTTTATCTCATTACTACTTGTTCATGAATCATTGCAGTCCTTAGTTTTATTCTTGTGAAATTGATCAAGAAGCAATGATGCTCACTGCTTCTTTTCAACCAACCACCACCACACCATTATACCTCTGCAGCTAAAATCACGCCGCGTCCTCTTATTGATAAGACACTTAAGGCAAAACTGCAAGCAAGTTGTGAAAACCACAGACACCATTATGCAATGTAAGTATAACTGCTTTTATTAATTGTCTCTGGTGGTTCCTGACTGGTCAACTGATTGAAGAAACAGAGACAGAATCCTAAGCCGGCGAAGGGAGTTTCATGTTGAAAAGAACACCAGGCTGCCATTGGAGCTTGAGAAAGCTATTGCAAGAGCTCTGCATGGATACGACTCGGATGAAGATGGTGATGAGCTGGAGACAGGCAATTCCAGCGACATTGAGGAGAATGATGACCAACTGTACATTGTTTTATAAATAGAAAATGAAATGAACATAAAATTAACATCCCACAGATCAGATCTTACAGAATGTCTGCTCACGCTCAAAGTGATCAAAGACGAAATGTTGTCTTTGATTACCAAACCCTGTGCATTTGCTGAGGGTGTCTTGCTTTAATTTGTCAACAGCATCACATATACAGAAGACCAGGCCAATAATGGTGACAAAACCATTGTCACCAATATGATAGCCATGGTCCAAGGCTTGCTCAACTGCTCCATCACTGTTCAAGATCAAATCCTTACTTTTTCGGTGTCTCAGCTGAATTTCTTGCTGCTGACACAGTCACTCATTACCTCAGTACCTCCCTTGCATACTTGGAGGATTTCGAGTTTTTCTTTGATGTGGAGGGAGTTTTGGAGCTGTGTGTGGCTCACTCGTTAGGTGAATTGATATACCAGAAGTGTCTTCGTGTTTGAGTGGCTTCACACAGTAAGTTAACGGTTGATGTAATGTAGCTTGATTTTATTGCATATCAATACAGCAGATGTGTCAGATATATTTTTACTTTGTACGTCAGACCATGAGGCCTTAGGTAAAGTTCACATGTGGCATACCTGCAACAATTTTCACAGGGAATGGTTTGCTGCTTGCAAAAATCCTCTGTGGGATTTAGGAATACACTGTCATCAGCAGAATGAAGTGCAGATTCGGACGGCCATCCAAAAGACCATGAGTGAGTCAGTACATAGAACACTCGCATGATGGCAACATGGAGTATCTTCGGCATCGCTCTTTTGGTGTCAATGACAGTGGTTCTTTGTCCTTGCAAACAACAACATTCATGGTATCTCAACCTGGCGCAGTGCAATCCTGTCCTGAACCATCACTCAATTTCTGGGAGGAGGCACTGCTTAGCGAGCCTGATGACCCGTCCTTTGAGAGTGTGGACTCAATACAAGAGACCACCATGACAAAAAAAAGAATACTGGTGTGTATACTCAAATTTCTTGGTTATCAAGCTAATGTTTGACAGAATGTTTCCTTACTTCATTGGAGACAAGAATGGTCCTCATACCTAGATGAAATGATCCGTCTAGAGGGCCACAGTGATGAAATAGCTCGAGAGACATGTGATTGCAAGGGTGAAGAACCTTTACTTTACCGCTGCCGGGATTGCTTTGGAGCAGAAATGGTGTGCTGTGCATGTGTTCTTCAATGGCATGCACATAATCCACTCCATAGAGTTGAGGTATGTTTATCAAGCATTAAATTGAGCTGCTGGACTTGGGAACTCATTTGCCCTTAGGAGTGGTGTGGCACATTTTTTGTGCAAGTCTCTCTGAAGCTGCTTGGCTTGCATATCCAGCTCGGACACAATCTGGGGGAGAAGTGTTATAACCCTGAATCTGCCACTGGCAATGATTTTGTTGTCATAGACATACATGGTATCCATGAAATCAGCCTCGACTTTTGTGGCTGTGAAATGGCCCAAATCCATTACAAACAGCTTATTCGTGCTCGATGGTTTCCAGCCACTTCAAAGAAACCTCAAACTGCCACCACATTTGCACTGATGGAGTTCTTCCACCTCCTCACATTCAAATCAAAGGTATCCACATACAAATTTTACCACAGTATCGCTAGACAGACAGATAACACCAGCACCACACCAATTAGGGTACGTCTGTATTAATATTGGCTGATTTTCTGCTCATCGCTAGTTTAGGATCATTATTCCGCATTTACACAAATGGTTCATCAATGGCGCCACCTCAAGGTGCTCAAGCGAGCAGGAAGAGGCCATGATCCCAGTGGCATGGATGCAATTCCCACTGGTGAATGCACCATACTTTGTCCAGCATACCCTCACCTCGGAAAGAACTTACCTGAGGGCTGGGAGGATGCATTGCATAATATCAGGTATGTTCTGATGCACAGTTGTTGCTCGATGTTCACTAATAATATCCCGTAGATGGAAGTACACTCTTTTTCTTGCCATCAACACTAATTTTCGACTTAAGTGGAAGCTTGTCTCGAGCAAAAATGTTGATCCGAGTCTCAATGCTGGCTCATGCTACTTTGTCGAGGAGACTGCATACAAACAGTATCTGAGTGAGTGTGGTTGTGAGCCACAGGAGGTACAGTAATATTTTACTGTTTGCGCACACTCACACTTACTATGTTCCATTCTTATCACAGAAAAGTACCTGTGAGTCATAATGCCATCAATATGGCTGACACAAAATCATCGAGAGGGCTTGTGGCCATGGGTGTTGGGACCATGGACTGTGCAAGGCATGATATGAAACTTCCTAATGGAGTTGGTGATTTGCAAAAAGGTGGAAGGTGTGTTTTTTTGATCATTTCTCAAGCCTTGTGAAGCTAAGCCTAGCACTAGATATCTAAACATGGACTATCTAGTCTTTTCAGTGATGGTCAATTTCACTGTGCTAGTATTTAATCTATCATATGACATTGCCTGCCAATGGAATAAAAAACTATGGCCTCACATGGCGTCAATGCCACCCTGACTGCACCTCGACCATAAAAACAAGCTTGTTCGGTTTTTTGTTCCAAAGTTTCATCTTAATGCGCATGTTCAATCATGTCAAATGTCATTCTCATTCAACTTTGGGAAGAATGTTGGATGTATGGACGGAGAAGCACCTGAAAGAGGGTGGGCAAACATTAATTGTGTGGCATTGAGTACGAAAGAAATGGGTCCAGGAGCACACTGTGATACTTTGGATGACCATTTTTCGGACTGGAATTGGAAAAAATTCGCCATGCTCGGTATGTTTCTGACTGGACTATTTCATTTTCAATCTCATGTATTTGAAGGTCAAAGCCTACTCCACTGTAAAGATACAACAATGCTTGATACTATACGAAGTAAGTGTCAGCAATATATAAATGTTGTAGTGGTCTTGCACAGCCTAGTCTGCTATACTTGCTAGACAAGTGTGTTTGATCCGAGGGGTTTGCTATTGGAATAAGTCTATAGTTAGTCAATCGATAAATTGTCAAAAGTCCGAGCACGAGAAACAGAATCTGAAGGTATAATTATGAGTCTGATGCCAAAGTGTCGGCCGATGTTTTCAGGTTTAGTGGGTTAGTGGGTTTCGGGTGCAGGTTCGTCGGGTTTGCATCAGGTTTGCGAAATGATCATCGGGTATAGCAAGCAATATGCGGAATATTGATAAGGACAGGTGTTTCGGATAGAAAGTGCGGTAATATTTGCAATGTCAACTAAGAACTACAAAATATCAGGATTGACCACAAAGCATCGGGAAACGGCTCCCTACTACTTGGATGATGAATGTGCTATGTGGAAACCAATATATATATAAGTACATAGAAATCCGGAACCCTATAGGCGAAAGTAGCGGCCGAAGAATTTTGGGTCCGATGTACATGTAAATAAACACGAGGCGCTGCAGACTATGGGAAAACATGTAATAGCGCCACATATTACAGTGACCTATCTCCATATAATATGGGGGAACAGACGTGCATAATATCCCGTATGATATGGGCCTATGATAAAAATATCCTCGACTATGACGGATGGGCCAGGAGGCAAATTATTCCCGATGGAGGCAGGTGGGCCCATGCAGGGAATATATATAGATGAGTGGGCCGATGTACATGAATATTAGGTAGACAGGTGGGCCGAGGTAGTTGGATATTATGCAGATGGGTGTATTAAGGTAGATGTGTATGAGATAGATGGGTAGGTACTTGTTATCACATTCACAGGTGGGCCCAGACACATATTAAATTAGACGGGTGGGCCAAGGGTATTATAAAATATTGTATCAGATGGGTGGGCCCAGACACATATTAATTAGACGGGTGGGCTGAGGATGTTGTATTAGACGGGTGGGCCGAAAGTGGTATAAAATGTAGATGGGTGGGCCCATGTGTATCATAATTGTAGACATGATGGAGCTGAGGTAGTTGTACATCAACCAAATCAGAGGAGGTAATAAATCAAAGTTACCAAGTTCCCGGAGCAGCAGGTGATCTCCTGACATGGCCTTTGATGGTGCTCAGATTGTCTTGCAAATTTTGGAATCCAGGGTGCGAAGCTTGTGTTGCCCTATGAGAAGCCAAGTTCCGATTACCAACCTTTGGGTCAACCATACTCAGAGGAGGTAATAAATTAAAGTTACTGAGTTTCCGGAGCAGCAGGTGATCTCCTGACATGGCCTTTGATGGTGCACAGGTTGTCTTGCAGAATTTGGAATCTGGGGCGTGAAGCTTGTGTTGCCCTATGAGACGCCAAGTTCCGACCACCCAAATTTGGGTCAACCGTACTGACTTCCGAGTTCCGGGACCCGGGAGTCAACAAATGAATATCTGATAACCAGCACACTTCCAATCAGGTAGTATGTCATTGAGCAATGGATCATCCAAGGGGTCCCTTATCAGACTCGGTAGTCAATATAGGCAAATGATAATGAAAACATGAAAGTTGTTATTGTGCTATTTTTCAAACACAAGACCCGAAAATATGTATGCAACATGTCCATTTTTCACTTGTTGCACAAATCACTGAGTTTTGAGTGCTGAAACCTGAAACTCAAAACACGGCATGCAACATGTTGATTGTTCATTTATATTACACAGATCATCAAGTTCCGAGTGCCGAGGGCTGAAACACAAACCTTGAGACCCGAAAATATGTATGCAACATTTCCATTTTTCACTTGTTGCACAAATCACCAAGTTTCAAGTGCCGAAACCTGAAACTCAAAACCAGGTGTGCAACATGTCCATTGTTCAATTATATTACACAAATCATTGAGTTCCGAATGCCAAGGGCCGAAACCCAAACCCCGAGACCCGAAAATATCTACACAACATGTCCATTTTTCACTCATTGCACAAATCACCGAGTTTTGAGTGCCGAAACCCAAAACTCAAAACCCGGCATGCAACATGTTGATTTTTCATTTACATTACACAAATCATTGAGTTCCAAGTGCCGAGGGCCGAACCCCGAACCCCGAAAATATGTGCGCAACATGTCCATTTTTCACTTGCTACACAAATCACCGAGTTTTGAGTGCCGAAACCTGAAACTCAAAACCCAGCGTGCAACATGTCCATTTTTCATTTATATTACACAAATCATCAAGTTCCGAGTGCCGAGACCCGGGACCCGAACCCCGAGACCCAAAAATATCTACACAACATGTCCATTTTTCACTCATTGCACAAATCACCGAGTTTTGAGTGCCGGAACCCAAAACTCAAAACCCAGTGTGCAACATGTTGATTTTTCGTTTACATTACACAAATCATCGAGTTCCGAGTGCCGAGACCCAAAACCCGAGCCCTGAGACCCGAAAATATGTATGCAACATTTCCATTTTTCACTTGTTGCACAAATCACCGAGTTTTGAGTGCCGAAACCCAAAACTCAAAACATGGTGTGCAACATGTTGATTTTTCATTTACATTACACAAATCATCGAGTTCCGAGTGCCGAGGGCCGAACCCCAAACCCCAAACCCCGAAAATATGTGCGCAACATGTCCATTTTTCACTTGTTGCACAAATCACTAAGTTTTGAGTGCCAAAACCCAAAACTCAAAACCCGGTGTGCAACATGTTGATTTTTCATTTACATTACACAAATCATCAAGTTCTGAGTGCCGAGACCCGAGACCTGAACCCCGAGACCCGAAAATATGTATGCAACATGTCCATTTTTCACTTGTTGCACAAATCACCGAGTTTTGAGTGCCGAAACCCAAAACTCAAAACCGGGTGTGCAACATGTCCATTGTTCAATTATATTACACAAGTCATCGAGTTCCGAGGGCCAAGGGCTGAAACCCGAACCCTGAAAATATGTGCACAACATGTCCATTTTTCACTCACTGCACAAATCACCAAGTTTTGAGTGCTGAAACCCAAAACTTGAAACCTGGCATGCAACATGTTTATTTTTCATTTACATTACACAAATCATTGAGTTCCGAGTGCTTTGGGTCATGTCCATTTTTCACTCATTGCACAAATCACCAAGTGTCAAGTGTCGAAACCTGAAACCCGGTACTTCAAATGGACATGAATTGTATTTGTTTGTATTATCCATTGGTGTAGGGCTCAAATAACTTGGGAATTGTATTTGTCAGTACTCAGTACTCGGTGATTGGTACTTGGTGATTGGTGATTGGTGGTCAGTGGTCGGTACTCGAGACTCAGGTAGTCAATATAGGCAAATGATAATGAAAAATGACAGTTGTAGTCCATGTCAAGGTGAGTGTCTTGGTAGTCTTTCCTTGTCATTCGGCAAAACATCAGCAATAATGAAAAAATGAAAGTTGTTATTATGGTTAACTTCCTTACCGAAGGTTGTAGTCCGAGTCTAGGGGAGTGTATTGGTAGTCTTTTCTTGTCCATCAGTTATCATTTGACTAAGATATAAGCTAAAGAAATCTGAAACATCGGCGATAATGAAAAATGAAAGTTATTTGTAATGATATTTTCGGCCTGAATCATATATAAATGTGACTTTGTATAAAAGATGTCTATTGTCACTCTCCACACATATGTCATTTTGCCTATCATTACATCAATCCTTCATGAATCTTTCTAAGCTTTTAAGCTATTATAATGGATGTATATGGGTGTTATTCCAGGTCTCTGATCACATCACAGGCTTGTTATGTTGTATAT